GTGTTTCCTCTATCACTCTGCCTTATTGCCTTAATACAGGGTCTCTCACTGAACCAGAAGCTTGCTGGTTTATTTTTGTTGGCTGGCAAGTGAGCTCTCAGGATTAGTGTGTCTCTGCCCACAATATTGGTGTTATAGGCATTCAGGGCCTTAGCTGGCTTTTGACATGGGTGCTGAAGGTTCAAACTTAGGTCCTCATGTTTGCTGCTCAATCTCCTGGTCCTTCCCCCCTACTTTTGAGACAGGGTCTCTCAGTGAACCTGGAGCTCACCGACATGGCTAGGTTGGCTGGCCAGTGAGCTCCAGGGGTCTGCCTGTCTCTGCCCCTCTAGCACTGGGATTATAAGCAGACAGTGTGGTGCCTGGCTTTTTATGTGGGTGCTGGGAATCCAAACTCAGGTCCCCATACTTATGTGGCAAGCACCTTATCGGCTGGGCTATCTCCCCAGCCCTGGGTAACTTTGGTCTACACCATGTTAGTTCCTTCCTGAGGCCCCAGTCATTCTCATGCATACTTTGATGTCTGAGAGGCCACCATAATGGTGGCTTTCAGCCCCCAGCCTAGGCCTGATCCTCTAGTGACCTTCACCAGTGCTCTGACTGGCCTTTCACCTCCTAGCCTCAGGCTGTGCAGAGCTCCTGGCTAGTCAGTGACCCCACTGCGGGGGCCCCCATTGCTCTGGCATCTCTTAAGACTCTTCCTCTGGAGTGGCCAGTGTTGAATCATTCCTGAGACCCCAAGGGAAGACACACTCAAGCCACATCCTGCCTACCAGACATCCCGCCTTAGCACTCTACCACAGAGGCTGGGGGAACTCGGCTGGAGGAACTTGGCTCTGAGGACATGTACAGAAGCTGCTGTTCACCAAGGGAGTACAGCTAGGGTTCTCAGAGGCCTGTTGGGATGTGGGGAAGAGAGCTCATGCCCTTGACTTCTTCAGAAAATGCCTCAGCCTGATTTTGGTAACTTTAGTAAGGCTTAGTAACTTTTTGTTTGTTTGTTTAGCAATAAGTCATCCTCAGGGACGGCTGGGAAACAAGCCATGACAGCAATTACAGGGTTAGAAATGAGGATTAGGAATCAAAGGAGAAAGGATTTTATCTGGAGAGAAAGCCCCTTAGCATGGTTGCCATGAGAGGTTGTACAGGGTGTTCACTGCACAAGGGCACTCAAGGGAGTCATCAGCAGGGGACTGAGATCCTGAGAGAGAGTTGCACCCTCTCTGAAGCTTCATTCCTTGGTGCTCAGATGTGCCTATAAGGGAAGAAGGGAGTTCTTTCTTAGTTCAAAGAGCAGGCTGCACTCTAAGCCCTGTTGAGAAGCTAGGGCTGGGGAGAAAGGAGTAAAGATTTATTTTTATTTCTCCAGCCCCAGGAAGATCTTTTTTTTTGTCTTTTTGAGACACGGTCTCCCTGTAGCCCCAGCTGTCCTGGAACTCACTGTGTAGACCAGGCTGGCCCAGAACTCACAGAGATCTGCCTGCTTCTGCCTTCCAAGTGCTGGGATTAAAGGCGTGTGCCACCATGCCTGGCTAAATAAATAATTTTTAAAAAGACAAGGTGGAGAGTGATTGAAGACAACCCCTGGCATCTACCTTTGTTCTCCACATACATGCAAATACAAACACATGGGCACCAGCAGGCATACATACACACATATACTATAGACACATATACACAAAACAATGTGGATGGCCCCTGAGAAATAACAGCTGTTCTCTGACCTCCATATGCATACACACACACACACACACACACCTGAATACACTCATCCACACGAGTTAAGGAACAATATAATACAAATGAATCTCTCTTACCCTGGCCTTTGGGTCTATTTTCAATATGAACTCTCACTGCACAACCACAGCTCACTTTTCCCATGGCCAGGGAAGAAGCCACTTTTATGAGGATTTACGAGGTGCCAGATGTTTGTGTGACCTGCCTCATCCCACCCTCACCACCAGCTGTGAACAGACATTGCTCCAGTTCACAGCTGCTAGCACCCAGCAAGGGGAAGTGACTGACTTCCTGGATAAGGATCTTCATCCACTTCCTTCCATGGCCCCACTTTGCTTCCTTGGGTCCCCCAGGGACAGGTGCCCATGCTACTCTGGGAGCTCAGAAGAGCTGGGGCGGCTTCCCCTCTGAGGATTATGGCACCAGGGGACAGTAGTCTAGGCACAAGGACTTACACTGACCTCTGGGTTACAGAGTGTCCTCCATGAAGGGAGGGGGTGGAGCGGGACTTGGCTGTGTGGATAGAGAGAAGTGACTCTTGAACAGTGTGATAACTCATTCTTTGCTGTCCCTAAACACACACACACACACACACACACACACACACACACACACACACTCTGAGCTGACAGCGTATTTCCTCCTTGGGCTCACTCCCCTCTTGCCACTTGCCTGACGCCTTGGTCCTGCTGCTGCCAGAAGCTGCCAGCTCCAAGGCTCAGTCTTGTGCTCACCTTGTGGCCAGGTAAGGAAGAAGTAGCCTAGGGGCTGAGCAGACTTGGTGCCCTCTCAGAACCCATGGGAGAATGGCAGCTTTACCAGAGGGCTGCTCCCAGCTAGGATGGTAGAGGAGTGAGTTCAGCAGCTGGTGGGGACTGATGCTCAGAGGAAAGGATTGCATTTTCCTGGGTGCCAGCTAGATTCCAGGCACAACGGTGAGCTGTTCCACCATATTCCTCATCGTTCACAGCAGTCTTGGGGGTGGGGGCACGATCACACAGTGGGATTAGAGAAACCGACAGGTTCACTCAGCTTGGAAGCCAAGGAACCTGGATCCAAGCCCAGGGCTTTGCAAAGCTAGGGTTCCTGCCAGAGCAGGCCCCTAGCCACTGGACTCCCCGAGATCCAGGGGCCTGCAGTTGTCTGGGATAAGAGGGGTAAGACTGGGTGGCTCCCAAGAGTGCAGTGGGACTGTACTCTGAGCATCCCATGAGACTGGGACAAGCTGGGTCTGATGAAGGGACTGTCTCAGGACAGAGTGGGGATGGTACACATCTGTCTGCCCGGAGGAGAGGTTAGGTCCATAGTGCAGCCAAGAAGCGCCAGTCAGTGCTTCTTGGAACTTCAGTTTCCTCTTCTACAAAGCAGGGTCTTGTCAGGCTATTGTAACACTGTTCTAAAGACTACAACTTAGAAAGTAGCATCAGGAAGAGACACAAGCTTGCCTGCAACCTAGACACCCAGGTACCAGAGCTATTTCCATCAGGGAAATTCTAACTTGGTCCTCCAGAATCCCACCACTGAAGGATGGTGGTCCTTGGAAAGGCATCCATTTTCCCATTCTGGTCAACTGTCTCTGGGAAACAGGAGTTCAGAAGGTCACCATGTCATCTTCCTCTTTTCTTTTCTTTTCTTCCTCCCCCTTATCATCTCTTCCAGCAGGGCTTGCAGAGAGAGGGCAGGCTGAGGACTGAACAGTCACCCTTCCATGTGGCTGTGTTGTTGGGTGGCTCTGCCAGCACTGTTACCACTTGAGTCTCAGTTTTCTCATTTGTAGAATGGTCTGGAGAGAATCTTGTATTTATTAGAGGAGCTACCATAGTCCCAGGCAGGCTGTGGGCACCTTGTACAACTTGAGTTCCCATACCCTGCAGGGAGCCTCCAACCCATTTCCCCAGCCCTCTACCAGCTTCATCCTGGGAGCTCTGGGGCTCTTCATGAGCCTGTGAGGATGCACACATGTATTACGTGTCTGCTGAAGTCTGACTTCTTCAGAGCAGCAAAGTACTTGCTCAACATACCTGTAGACCCAGTGTGCGGGTGAATAACAAGGACAGGTTTCCTGGGGGAGGCAGGGCTGCCATTGCTGTCCCTGGGCCCCCAGAACCCCAGAGCGGTAGTTCCTCCTGTCCAGGTCTCACGCTCCTCTTATCTCATTTCCTCTCCTTCTATCAGAGGAGGGGCGGTCTCCCCTAATCTCAGTCAATCAACACACTTCTGAAACTGGCAGCTGTCCTCGAGGAGGATCTGCAGAGTGGTAAGGCTTTGGGGTGCTGGAGGTGGTTCAGAGTGGGGCTGGAAACCTCCCATCCCATATGAGGGGTCATGTCCACCCTCCTGAGCTCTGGGGGACTGGGTCCCAATCGGCTTGACCTATGTAATCTAGGACATTGGCTTAATATTAATCACAATGACAATGATACAGTGCTTGGTGTGTAGCAGACCCTGTATGTGTGTGTGTGTGTGTACACGCCAGAAGCCAACCTTGGGTATTCCACCTTTTAAAACAGCATTTTAAATTATATATAGGTGTTATGTGCATTATATATAGGAGCTATGTGCATTATATATAGTAGTTAAGTACATGTGAGTGCAGGTGCCCAAAGAGGCCAAAGGAGTTGGATTCCCTGGAGCTGGAGTCACAGGAGGTTGTGAGCTGTCTGATAAGAGTGTTGGGAACTGAACTTGGGTCCTCTGGAAGAGCAATACTCTTAAGCTTAGAGCCATCTCTCTGAACTTGGGTCCTCTGGAAGAGCAATTCTCTTAAGCTCAGAGCCATCTCTCCAGCCCCCTTCTTGCCTTGTTTATGAGTCAAAGTCTCTCACTGAGACCTAGGGCTCATCAATGAGGCTAGGCTGGCTGGACAGTGAGCCCCAGGAATCCACCTTCCCAGCACTAGGATTACAAGTGTGTGCCACCACACCCTACTTTTTACATGGGTGTTGGAAATTGGGCATGCACAGCAAGCACTTTATTGATTGAGCTATATTCCCCTATCTCCTCCTTCCGCCCCTTTTAATAGAGCTTATTTAGACGGCCCAGAAGCCTATGAGCTGGGGACTGTCAGGTGAGGACAGACATTCAAGTTACAGAGGACACAGGCTCAGGAAAGCTCCACTTGACTTGCCCAAGGTTGCACAGGGAGCAAGGAGCAGAGGGGAACCAGGGTGCTACTCTGGGTTTGCTCAGCCTGGCTGACCCCAGGGTCCACCCCATTTACGGATCATATTGGCAACTCTGAGACAGGGTCCTCTCTTGCCCAGGTTGCAGGCTCTTGGTTCTTGTGCCAGGCTCAGCCCTCCTTCCCTCCACCTTGTCATGGCCAACGCAACGCTGAGTCTGCTCTGCCCGCTCATGGAGGAGTTGAGACAGGTCCCAAGCCATAGCAACTTCAGCATGCGCTATCTGGACCACGTGTCGGTGGTGCTGCACGGGCTGGCAGCGCTGCTGGGCCTGGTGGAGAACGGACTCATTCTGTTCGTGGTGGGCTGTCGCATGCGCCAGACAGTGGTCACCACCTGGGTGCTGCACCTGGCGCTGTCCGACCTGCTGGCCGCAGCCTGCCTTCCCTTCTTCACCTACTTCCTGGCGGTGGACCACTCGTGGGAGCTGGGCACCACCTTCTGCAAGCTGCACTCCTCGGTCTTCTTCCTCAACATGTTCGCCAGCAGCTTCCTGCTCAGCGCCATCAGCTTGGACCGCTGCCTGCAGGTGGTGCGGCCGGTGTGGGCGCAGAACCACCGCACGGTGGCGGCGGCGCACAGGGTGTGCCTATCTCTCTGGGCCTTGGCGGTGCTCAACACCGTGCTGTATTTCGTGTTCCGGGACACCATCCCGCGGGTGGACGGCCGCATCATTTGCTACTACAACATGCTGCTCTTGAACCCGGGTCCCGACAGCAACGCCACGTGCGACTCTCGCCAGAAGACCCTGGCAGTCAGCAAGTTCTTGCTGGCCTTCTTGGTGCCGCTGGCCATCATTACTTTGAGCCACACGGCTGTGAGTGTGCGCCTGCGCCACCGCGGCCGCCGCCACCGCGGCCGCTTCGTGCGTCTGGTGACCGGCATCGTGGCGGCCTTCGTGTTGTGCTGGGGGCCCTACCATGCCTTCTGCCTGATGGAGGCGCGCTCACACGCCGTACCCCCGCTGCGGCCACTGGCACGGCGCTGGCTGCCCTTCGTCACCAGCCTTGCCTTCTTCAACAGCGTGGTCAACCCGCTGCTCTACGTGCTCACCTGCCCCGATGTGGTGCACAAGCTGCGGCGCTCGCTGCGCGCGGTCATGGAGAGTGTGCTGGTGGACGACAGCGACTTGGGCGCTGGTCCGGGCAGCCGCCGCGGCTAGCGAGCCTCCTCCACCACCACCTCGGCCTCCACCCTGTCACTGGCCGGCCGCCTCCCGCAGGCTCTGCGTCCCGCACGCCTCCTTGGCTGGCTACGGGGCAACAGGCTGCAGCGTGGTGGAGCAGTGTCCCCGCAGAGGGACCACACAGCGTCGCAGGACGAGAAGGGCCCCCTGAACTGCACACCCAGCTCCATGACCGAATAGACCCACGGGGCCTCATCACATGCCAATGCCAGCCCATGAGACTGTACCCCTTCAGGAAGGGAGGGTCTCTTTGTAGCCCCAGCTAGCCTGGAACTCGCTATGCCTGAAACACTGATCCACCTGCCTCTGCCTCCCTGGATGAAAGCCTAGCTTTAAACAGGCTTCCTAAACACTTTAATCTTGCAGTGTGGAGGTGCTGAGGAGCCAGTTTCAGTCTACTGGGGCACAAGAGCTGCAGGACAGTGTCAAAGCCAGCTTTGAAGAAGGGGGAACCCCGTGGATTCTGACTGTTGGTCCCCAGGCTTATGTGTGATGGGAAGACTGAGACTGGACTACACAGTGGAGCACTAAAGTGCCTGTGCTCCTGTGGATCTTAGTGTGGCCACTCAGCAGGGAGGGGCCAGGGCTGACTTCCAGTTCTAACACCTCCCAGGCTGCTGGCCCAAGAACAATTAGGGTTAATCCAAGGTTAAAGTCCCATGTCTCCAAAGGCACTGCTCTGTTGACAGACAGTAAGGAGGGGGTTCATCAAAGAACAGTGGTATATTTGGGGTAGTGTGAGGAAGGGGTTGAGAAGCAGCCACCTTCACTGAGTTTGACCTTTGGCCAGCCACTTTATCCCAACCACCTTTGGGGTCAGCTTGTTAGCCTTATAGGATCTTAACTGCAGTTTTAGAGTGCTGCCACCAGGATCTGCACTCTGGCCTCCACATTCACACAATTCTATCCAGAAAGAACATCTAACCTCCTTCAGGGTACATACAGTACAGCTGCCTCATCCAGATAGGGTCTGGTGCCAAACTGGGTGGGAGGGGCAATCTTGCATGTCATGGACCTTCTACCAGTGTCAAAAGTCCTCCCTACCATGGACCACAGGGCAGGCAGCTATAACACATCTCTGTATCCCAGAGGGAGGAGAGCAGATATGGAAGAAGCATTAGTGGAAGAACTGGGATGGGAAATTCTTAGGGTCTCTCAGACCAAAGGCCACCAGTTCTCAGCACCACCAGGGCCCGGACTGCAGCAGGTACTCCGCACACTGGATAGCAATGGCACCGTTCACTCCCTCCTGCTTCACTCCAAGCATTTCATACCTGGCACACCATGTGTTTTGCTTGTTTATTACAAGAATGAAAGCCCAATGGGGGCATGATGCTCTGTCTTCCCTGGTACCTACAGCTGTACCTGTGCACACAGGCATTCAATAAATATTTCTGCTGTATAGTGGATGGGCATGGCTGGTCAGATCCTGAGGTTTCTGCAGTCTGCTATGGGAAAGGGGTGCCGGAGTGAAACCCAGTCTCTGGCAACCTCCCCACTTTAATCTTCCAGTGCTGGGGTGGGGAGTGGCTAGTTCAGTCTGCTGTGTGACAGGATTAGCAGGGGGCATACATAAGTGGCCACAGTGGCCTCTAGGCAAGTGGGAGAGCTGGTTACTGACTGCTGGCCTCCAGATGTAGGGTAGACTCATGGCCTGACACAGAACTACACATCTGTAGGAGTTACCAGCTCGTGGAGGGTCAAGTCACTGCTCAAGGTCTGAAGGCACTTGGAGATGGGGAAGGACAGGGAAGAATTTAATTTCCCCTTCCCCTAGTCTCTGTCAGGTCCTAGGCCCCCTATGGACTGGGGTCCCTGTTTTGAAGCAAGAGCTGGTGTGCTGGCCCTGCAGAAGCATCTGACAGTGGCTTGAAAGATGCCTTGTCTGCCATGGTTCTTGGCTGTGGAGGCCTCTGGCTGCTCTGAGCTCAGACCTTGGCTGCTGGCCGCTGTGGAGGCTGCTTCTGGAGCAGGGACAAGGTGTCCCTCTTCTCAATGGCCCGCAGCTGCTTCTTCTTTGCCCGTTTGAGCTTGGCAGGGTTTCGGATCTAGGGTGGGGAGAAATAAAGAGCAGCAGTGTGGATGGGGACCCTGTGCCTCTCCCTGGGGAATAGGAGAGCATTTCGCAGGAGCCCAGGATTACAGCCACATGTGGCAGGGGCTGAGACCGATGGCTCCTTCACTTGGCCTGTCTGCATCCCTAGGGTAGGGGTGCATGCTTACCACTTGGACAATCTCAGCCTTGCGTTCATTCTCCAGGCGGCGTCTCAGGTTCTCAGCCCGGCGCTCCTTCTTCTCCTGGAACACACAGAAGGGATCTGAGGCAGCCATAGTCTTTCAGGACCCTGAGAGAGCTGGCATGATTCCCACAAGGGCAGAAACAGCCTGTGTGGGTTCCAGGTTATGTGTGGTGGGGGAGGATGGAGGCCTAGGACTTCCGGGGAGGAGCAGGGATGCAATGCCCACTGTGGAGTTACCGACTTCTCATTAGAAAAGCGGGTACATGGACAGGTATCTGAGGTCAGGGGCTTACACAGGATGATTGGGTAGGCCAAGATGTGGGTGGCTTAGTACCAAGAAGTCACATGCAGATGGGGCGGCCCCTGTACCACCCCACGTACCAGCTGCCAAGAGGCTCGGAAAGACCTGGCCCACCCTTGAATCTTGACTCTACCTTCAAATCAGGATCCTGTGGCTGAACCTCTGTGCCTCCACCTCCCCAGCTTGACCGGGAAGCTGACAACAAGATCTACCTTATCAGACTGATCTGAGAAATAAGTGTGTGAACAGGGCTTGGAACCACATGGGCTTTCCCGGGACACTGAGAATCAAATGGAGCTGTCCTGGGGAAAAGAAGCCCAGGGCTTTCTAGCCTTGTTGTGGCTCCAACACGGCCATGCCGTCAGGGCCTCTCTTGGTTTTGAAAACCTGGGGTCATGGTATGGCCTGGGACCTTGGGAGGAAGTGACTTTTGGCTTCTCTGGGCTGGGGAAGGGCCAGATGGGGCTGGGAGGGCATACCTTTCCAGTGGCTGATGAGGTGGCAGCTGTTTTGCCCAAGAGGGAGCCAGGGGTACAATGCCCACTGTGGCAGGAGTTACTGATGCCTCATTAGAAATGGAAGGGAGATAAAGCCTCAGCACACGGGAGCAGCCACTGTCCCTAGGATCTCAGCAACAGGCTGATCTGGGATATCTCAAACCAGGGGTGTGTGTGGGGGTATGCCTCAGTGACTGGCCTAGCCCTCTTCTCAGTAACCAGCCAGGGACCACAGACCTGAGATGAGTCATTTGACTCTGGATCAGTGCTCCTGCACCCTGGGACCAGTAGTGTCACCTGATGAAGCTGTCCTGAGGACATTGTTGCTGACCAGCTCCTTGCTGCTTACTAGGCATTGCCTGCTCAGGTAAAATAGGATCCTTCCCAGGGCCTCCTGGAGGCTGAAGGTGTTGGGAGTGAGCCTCTGTGGTGCTAGTGATTGAACCCAGGGCCCCGTGCCTGCCAGGTAAGCACTCTACTGAGCTACATCTTTAGCTCTTGGGTGAGAGCCTCCAGTTTTGGGTATAAGATGAAGGCCAAGGGAATGAACTGGAAGAATGGCACAGGGACCACTCACAGGCTGGTGTGTGGAAGCCACGTTTTGAGTAACAGCAGTACAACTATGCCAAGGTTTCCTAATCTGCAAGCTTTTCCCACATGAGCAGGTCTCAAGGAGAGGCCCCTAGACCCCATATCACTGAATGCTCCTACCACCAAGGTGGGCTTGCTGGCCTGCTCTCTGGGTTCCCTATCCACACACTTCCAGGCCCCTGTGTGTCCTTGAGCCAGAGGCTGAGCTGGTCCCAGACTACTCTTCTCCTTCCTCCCTGGATCAGGCTCGGGGACCCCCCCCCCCCACCTAAGCCTACCTCCTGCAGGGCTCTGTATCTGTTCCAGCAGATAGGTACTTGGCCTGTGCTATGGCCTTGGCTGGCCCCTTACCTGACGGCGCCTCTGTTTCTCCTCCTCCAGGTGCCGGGCAAAGTCCTTGGCTAGTTTCTTCTCCTGTCGTTCCTTCATCTTCCGCTGCCAGGAGGTGCGCAGAGGCTTATCCTGAACCATCTGGGAGAACCTGCATGGGAGAGGAGGCGCTTGGGGGCCTCTGCGGTGCTGCCCACACCCTCTGCTGTAACCCAGCTCTGGGCTCACTTTCCCATACCCCAGCCATCACTGACCACTCATGCCTGCCTGGCACTCAGCTTTCTACAAAAATCTCAGTGTGGAACAGGTCCCTAAGCATGTTTCTCTGAGGTAGAGACTCATTTCTCTCCATTCTACAGAGGAGCAAACCAAGGCTCCATGAGGTTGGGTAACTGCCAAGGTCCTTATTCCTGAGTGGAGGCTGGGACTTAAACCAGTCTGTAACCATGTGGCCTCAGCTTTGCTACCACCAAGTATGGTGCCCTGTGTGTGAATGCCTCTGGAGATGGGGGCTCACTTCCTAGGTGGCTGGTGCTGTACTTCCAAACAGCAAGAATGAGGGGGGTTCTCTGCAATGATTCGGATTCTTCCCAGTTGGAGGGATATAAAGGCAGAGTGAGATTAACAGTCCAGACTTTCTCAAGGTAGATTATTTTTAGGGTCTTAGGAGAATGGAGCTATTTCTGTAAGAATTCATCTAGGATGTGCTTAAAATATTCTAGGGGAAAAAGGCAGAAATGCCAAGGTAAAAAGATGAAGCAAGCCAGGAAATGCCAAGAATGTATGAAGCTGGTGACGGAGGCTTGTAAAATCCAACTCTTTCCTTTTCTGCAGGCTTGAAGTTAGTTTTGTGATAAAGAGTAAAAACATGATGAAGAGAAGTGCCCTGGCCTGGCTTCTCCCCATCACTTGTCAGACCTGCTGAGTGTCCTGGCCTTTCTCCATCTCACTCCAAAGTTCCAGGGCTTCTCAGCAGGTCCTGTCCTCTCAGTGGCCCTTCTGCTCTCCACACTACAAGTTCACCTTCTGTAGGACTCACATCTGTTATAGGGTGCATCAAAGCAACCCAGTCTCTGAAGGCCTCTGTGTATGCTGGGCAGAGCCTGCTCCTGACCACAGGAAGGTCAACACTGCTCCTTTGGGCTATCTGCTCCTCTCCCTGGGAGTCTGGCACACACAGCCTGGAACTTGGGTTTAGGTCCATCCATCTGTAGACTGGTTCTACCCCTTTCCAGTGTACTGCTGGCTTCTGACCACAGCATGCCCTCTCCCCTCTACATTCCCCAAGGCCTGCTGAAGACTCAGTCTTCTAAAAATGGTGGGTGCCTCATGGGCCTCCTCCCTACCCTTAATGCTCATTATCCCAAACTGGGGTGTCAGAACCCTGAAGGGACACGATGATGGAAGCCTGAAGACACAGCCATAGGACTGTCTTTCTAGAGCAGTGATGCCAAGAGAACTTTGCATGATGGAAATGGTTTGCATCCATGTTATGCCACAAGGACGCCAAGAGTCAGAGACAGCTGGAGCACTTGGGTGTGGCTAGTGTTAGGAAAATATATCTCACTTTATAGTTAGTTACTATAGTTACATGAGGCTGGAGAAGGAAGGAAGACAGCCTGGGTACCTGGTCCTGAGTCCATCATTCACTTGTCTGTGTGACCCTTGAGCACGGGAGCCTCTAAGCCACAGCACCCAGAGTCCAGCTGGGGAGAGAGCTCGGATCAGGTACTCTCCTAGCCCCTTGCTGGTGGGAGTGCTCCGAGGCCTCCTTCTCTGCTCTTCTGCTGACTCCTCCCTTTTCTCCACCCAGGGCAGCCCAGCCCCTTCATTCTCTGCAAACCCACCTTTCCCATCTGTGGTTGAATGCCAGGACCCCAGGCTCTACACCCCAGGCTCTACACATTCAACTAGCTCATCATACTCTTCGCGCCCAAACCAACTGCTTTGGCCATCAGCGGCCTGGTCATTCTCCCTGTGACCTGCCAGGAGAGGGAGGAGGGGAAGCTTCAAAGTTTCTCTAAATGGTGACTTGCTTTAACCCTCAGTTTCTTTGGTTTAATGGGGTGAGTATGGGGGGAGGGAGGCAATACCCAATGCCTAGGGTTTAAGGGTACAACAAAATGACATGTGCAAAGGGCCTAGCACAAACCCTAGCAATATAGTCTACCCACCAAGTAAAAAAAATCCTCTTCATGCCCTGTCATGAATTCTTGTATCTGGCCAGCAGCTGAGATTTCAAATGAAGCCCACTTCTTCCCAGAAGCCTAAACCATTCCTTCTTATGAGCCTCTTCACATGATGCCCTGGAACTGAAAGAACAGGACCATATGTCTTAGAGAGGCTGCAATCCACTTCAAGGCACATCAAAGAAGCAGCCTAAGGGATTTCACTGACAGACTTTGGAATCAAGTCTGTACCAGTCCTGTGTGGATTCATTTAGCTTCCTTGAGCTTTGGTTCCTTCAGATGGCCAACAGCAATAATAGCAACAGCTGTTCCAAGGGCCGAGATAAAGATGAAATGAAATGTGCTATGTTTGAAAGGCTCTCCCTCTGGCCAGTTCTTATTGAAGTGACCTCTATAACCCCGGGGCCTAGTAATACTTTTTATCAAAGACAAGTAATGGGTTTTTATGGCTTCTGCCTCCCTCACTGGTCGGGGCAGACAAGGTCAATGTTTGTTGAATGAACTGGGGACTAAGGGGATCGAAGGGAGGTTCCTAAGGACCTGTGGGCATCAGAGAAATGACCTTTCAGGTAACCTTAGGGAATTTTGCCACATTCTGATTACGATTACCTGTTTACTTACAACTTTATTCAAGCGGTCCCTTTCCAACCCTGGGACTGCACACGGGCGGAAGACAGGGCCCAAACACCTGGAGAACCCCAGTCGGCGCCCAGCCCCACTTTACCTCTTCTTGGAGCGGTCTTTCCACACACGCCCGGATTTGGGCTTCCCCTTCGGGATGACAGGAAGCCCCTCCGGCGCCTTCTTCCTTTTCTTGGATGCTGGGGTCTGGGGCGAAGATGCATCTCCCTTCTTTACGCTAAGGTCGCTTGTCGCCGTTTTGCCAGCCAGTGGTGGCTTGGTCGGCTCCGGCGGACGCTGCGGGGAGCCGGGTGCCCGGGAGGTCAGCTCCTGTGCGGGCCGCGAGGGCTCGGGACCCGACGCTTGCAGGCCGGGGCAAGGCTTCGGGGATCCTGGGCCCGGCTGCAGCTGATACTCGGGGGATGTTGAGGTCAGCTCCTCCTTACCCCGGGCCACCTCCGAGTCCGGTTCTCCCTGTGTAGGGGAGGGCTCGGGGGACTCCGCTCTGTGGGGGAATGGAGGGCAGTACTCCGGCTGCGTCGCAGGTGACTCCAAGCCTGCATTCGGCTGGGGGGACCGGGGGTCGGGCTGCCTCGGGGGGGACCCCACGCCTGCACCCTGGCGCACACAGAGTGATCCGGGGCTTGTCTCGGGCTGACGTTGGGGACACGCTAGGCGCGGTGGCTCCACCTGCAGCGGAGACCGGGGCTCACTCGTTTCTTCTGGGTTCGACTCCAACGTGACAAGGGCCCATCGCGCCCGTGAAGCTTCGGGGACAGGAAGGCTCTCCGAGGACTGCGGACTGAGGCCTTCCAGCCGCTGACTGCGCCTCAGCAGTGTATCCATGGCCCACGTGCAGGTTCCGTCGCTTCCCGGACTACCGGCGCCTTCCTATGACGTCGGATACAGCCACATCCGATCTGGGCAGGAAGCGCTGCTGCTGGGGACGCCTTGCTGGGCAAGTGAGGAAAGGCGGGGTTGTCAACATGGGCAGGGCCGGGCAGAGTAGACGCATGCGCCTACGACGCGGGTCCAGTGACTTGGGTCCTGTGCCCCGTTGAGGGTTCGTATTTGCATTTCTTGAAAACTGTTTTCTGGGGGTCAGAGAAGCAGAGGGTGTTTTTTTTTTTTTTTTTTTTTTTTTTTTCCAGAGAAGAGGATTTGCAAAAGGTCTGGGGTGTCTGTAGGGAAGGGCGAATAGACACTGCTGGAAACGGATTCCGTTTGGGTGATCCTCCCGCCTTCTTTGGACCTCAGTTTTTCAGTAACACTGCAGTTTTTCACAATATTACAAATTAGGGGTTCCCAAGGGCCTTCCAGGGTAATTTAAGTCATGAGTTCTGTGTTGAATGTGCCACCATAGGATGCTCCGTCTCTATCCTGGAGTATCTATCTTTTCTCACCGGCAAGACAGTGGCTTTTGCCCCTGTGGGAGAACTTGCCTCCCTCCCCTAGTCTGTTTAGCAAACTTTGGGGACTCACCGATGGCGAGATACACTACCCTCTGGATCTCCCAGTGCTTAGAGAAGACTTTCTTGGGGCCCCCTTTGTGTGAGACCCAGGAGAGGGCTCTAGATTGAGTCACAGCAAGCATCTTAGGAACAAGGGCTTGAAAGTGGTTCAAATGTATCCCAGCTCCTTCCAATATTACTCTTTGAACTCCCTGCAGGTGGCCCTCAGGGATCCCAGGGACTCTGCCCAGCACATTGCAGTGGCTTCTTTTAGAAAACTTTGTTTCCAGAACTGGAGGAGAGGGAGTTGTAAGAAGGCATGGGAAGTTGTCCAAGGAGACTGGTTAGAACATTCAGGCCAGGACAGACAGCCGGGGTATCACTGGAAGCCCAGTCCCCTCACCAGAGCCACTCTGCCAGTCCTGGAGCAGGAGTGGGAGTCAGATTTGACTCTGGGCCCGTGCGTGTTGGCTGCTGATTCAAGAGGAGATGGGGAAGATGAAGAGCCAGACAGAGGTCCCTACAGGATGGAAAAGTGGCTGGAGAATCCTTGAACACACCCATCAGAAAGTGGTACACATGGTCTTAGGTGAATCTTGATGAGTTCAGCCTGAATCTTCCCTCAGGGGAGGACAATGGCACGGCTCTCTATGTCCCTAGAAACAGTTACACCCTTTTGCTGTAATTGTATGTCAGTTCCCTTCCCCAGGCCTCTCCCTGAAGTTCTGTCTCTGGGATCAAAGCCCTTGTGTTCCTCCAGGGAGAAGAAACCAACTGTCCCAGATCCTCCAGCTTCCCAACACTTAGAGTAGTCTCTGTATGGTTATCTTTCCTGTCCTGGTTTGGAGACCTGAATGGTCCAAAACTCAGAATCACAGTGTGGGTTTTCTGGGGCTCTGAAGGAGTTTTATCTGCCTCCAACTCAGGCTCCAGGGCCCCTCAACTTACTCTGCGGGTACACACAGATACACACACACACACACACACACACACACACACACACACACACACACACACACACCCCAGGGCTAATTTCAGGTCCCCACCAGGATGGCATGAGAGAAAGCTAGCTGGCTTTTAGATAGAGGACTTTGGGTGTGCCTCTGACACATATGCAGGTGCTTATCAGCCTTGACATCAGGTGAGCTCTGGTCTGGAACCCCCCACCCCAACTTCCACCTGAGCCCCAGTTTGCCATTATCATTGTGTGCAGGCCCTTGGGGAGACTCTTGAAATTTGCAGAGGGGGCTGCTGTACTGCTTTGCTTTCTGTTATACCTCAGTCTCTGTTCATAGAGTGGGAGGATGAGAAGAGGGTTCTGAGTCCCCCAGAGACCTCAGCAAAGTTCAGCCCCAGATGCCCATAAAGGTAACCTGGTTATTCATGTGCCCTCAGGCTTCCCTGAGACTTACTTTCCCACTCAATTTTAGGTGCTTCTAGGAGGGGTTCACTTTGCAAATAGACTGCATGTAAATCCTCATCTTAGAGTGACACCTGTTACCATATCACAACCTCTCCTAGGCCTTGAATGCCCTGCAGGATAGTGAAATCTATCACCCCTGCCCTGCAGGGGCCTTATGAAGGTCTAATTCACTTATTCAAGTGACGTAGACCCCTGTGCTAGGGTTGACAATCTCTCCTGGCCCAGCACTCCAGGGCACTAAATGAATATCAGGAGACCCCTGGCAGGCAGCAAGTGTTTAGTTAGTGCTGCTCCTGAGAGCTGGGCCTCTCCCTGCCCATCTCCCATCTGGAAGCTGAGAGAAGTCCCTGAAGATATGGGCTTCTGACCTCTGGGGACTTTTAAACTCTTTCAGCTGTGCTGCCCCTTGGCTGGGTGGATGATTGAAGCCTCTGAAAGCTCCTGATGTATATTGTGGGTTCAACTGTGGGTGTTTGTTTCCTTCAGTCAGCAGATCTCAGGTTACATAAATAAACTGGGTCTTGCTGAGTCAGCACTGCATGGTATGCATGACACTCTGACCCTCCAGTGCATGGACCAGGGGTAGTGAGGGAAGAGGGAGGACTGCAGGAGGGGCAGTTGCCAAGCAGTTAAGCAAGCCTTCCAGCTCTGGAATGGTAATCCTGGCTCACTGTGTCTCTGCCTGGCTTTGAGAGAGTTGCTTTATCCTTTCTGAACCTGGGTTTCTTTCTGGGGAACAGGGAGATACTGAGAAGACATGTCACAGCTTTGGAGTCAGACTCCTGTCTCCACCATTTATTTGCTGTGTGACTTTTACCAGTGTCCCAGTCTCTCTGTGTCTTTTTTTTTTTTTTCTATAAAATGAGAGTCATATCAGTACACCTGCCTCCTGGTTTGACTTAGAAGTAAACGTCCCTGTTCATGTTGAATACCTGACAGCAAGCCTCTCCCTTCCATTTGGGAACTGCTTACATATTTAAAGACAGTTTTCCTACAGGTCTTCTAGAATTGTCCTTTAAGTAGGTTGAGATCTCCCATCTCTCCAGCTGTCCCTGTAGTTCTCTGCCATTCAGAACATGCGCCCAGGCTTCCTTTGGACCCCTGTGTGGGCACAGACAGCCCACTGGATCTGTCACCTCCTGACTACTCTACAGTTCCCAACAGTCTGGCCAGATCTCTAAATTTCTTCTAGGCAGCAAACCACTTTGTGGACTTCCAGTGGAAACCCTCTATCTGGTTCCAGCTGCCTCCAGGCTGTTCCTCCCAACCTTGATCTGAGTTGGAGTTTTTTGGGTAGTGTAAGGTTTCCTTTCCTTTCCCTCCTTCTTTTTCTCTTTTTTCCTTTCTCTTTCCTTTCCCTTTTTCTTTTCTGCTCTTTTCCCTCCCTCCCCGCTCCTTCTCGTTCTCCCTGTCCCTCTCTGAGACAGTTTCTGTAGCCCAGGCTGGCCTGGCCAGTGGCAATACCCCTGCCTCTTTTTCCTCCTGAGTGCCTGGATTTCAGATGTGAGCCACCTGCTTGACTACTGTAGGACTTCTTGTCTGTTCTGTTGACTTGTTTTGACCTCTCTGGGGGCGGGATCTAGCTCCTCTCCTTTGGCACTTGCTCTCCCTTCCTTTTTTGTACATGTGAACAGATACTTCGATTATGGGGTGCCATGGTCAGTTCCACAGAGCATATAGAACAGGATGGGGACCATCGTGCTAGCTCTTATGCCTTGTTCCCACCTTTGCTATGTGTGTAGAACAGCTCAATGTGCGCTTTAGACCCCTGAGATGGGGAGGGGCTGCAGCAGAGGGCAGAGAAGGGAGAACAATGGGAGTGGGCCTTGGGCTCCTGCTAAGAGGCCTTCCAGCTGTGCCCCCGGGGCACCCACAGGATGTATAGGAAGCTGCTGGGACAGAGGGAAGGCCTCTACAAATCTCATATCTGCCGCAGCTCAGGGCTGAAGAGAACAAAGCTTATCTCCAGCTCCTCTTACAGCATCTGCAGGGTTTGCTGAAACAGGAAGGGAACACCCCTTGCCATCCCCATGTGTGTGCTGGATAGCTTTAGTGTCAACTTGACACACCTGGGTTGAGGGAGCCTCAATTGGGGAATTACCTTCTTAGGACTGGCCTGTGGCCATGTCTGTAGGGCATCTTCTTGATTGTTGAGTGATGTGCGAGGGCCCAGCCCACTGTGGGTGTTGCCACCCCTGGGCAGGTGGTCCTGTGTTGCATAAGAAAGCAAATTGAGTAAGGGCCAGAGGAGCAGCCTGTAAGCAGCGTTCCTCTATGGCCTGTGCTCCAGCTCCTGCCTCCAGGTTCCTGCCCTGAGTTCCTACCTTGGGCTCCCTGATGAACTGTGACCCAGGAGATGTAAAATAAAATAAACCCTTTCCTCCCCAAGTTGGTGTTGGTCACAGTATTTTGTCACAGCAATGGAGAAACAAACTAGGACAATGTGTGTGTGAGACAAGTCCTTCTTCCTCTCCTCAGGCCCCTGCCAGCATCTACAAAAGCTCCCTGGCCCGAGCAAGTCAAAGAAGAGGTAGGCTGCGTTGAAATTAAATACTGGACCAGGTGGAAGGTAAGTACATTCAAAGAGGTGGGCATCTCACATACCCTGTCCCACCTTTGCTCTAGTGTATCCAACAGCAATTCTTCTACTCCAGCTTCTGTGAGCGTCAGTCAAATGCCCCAGCCGCAGAAAGTTAGGATTTAGTAGGTTTGGGGACGGACTATGGATTTGGATTTCTAGCAGGTTCTCAGGAGTTGCTGGTGCTGGATGCTCATGCCGGTGCTGCTAGTGATGGTGGTGTGGCTGGTGCTGCTGGTGGTGAGAGTCCATAGACCATATTTCAAGGATCAGTGTCCCAGGAGAAGGAATGAGCAATGCCTAAAGAATCTTCTTTCTTTTCCTTTCACACGGGGAAGAGGCTGAGTTCACCATCATCTCATTATTTACTTACTATCAAGAACTGGTGGATTGTTTGCTCTGTGCCTGGTATTAGAGGCACACAGGGAAATGGATAGTCATGTT